CTAATTTACTTATTAGCCAGCCAAAAAGCCCAACCCCAAAATATCCTGGTTTTAACTTTTGCTAAAAAAGCCATTAAAGAAATAAAAAAACGGGTTTTTTCTTATGTTACCACCGTTTCCCCCAAGAATTTACATATCTATAATTTCCATTCTTTTTGTTTTCATGTTCTTAATAAACATTCGTATTTGTTAGGTTTCCCCGACAGTAAATTTCCGGTTTATGATCGTCACGAGCAAGAAACCATAATTCGCAAAATACTCTATCAGAATAATTATAGTGCGGAAAAAAAAGAAATAAACACCATTCTCGCTTATATTAGTGGTTGAAAAAATGGTAAACTGAATACCGACCCACTACAATTTGACGAATCAACCAAAACCCGGTATGAAATATACCAAAAATATGAGGAATATTTAAAAACCAATCAAGCCCTGGATTTTAATGATTTGCTGCTTTACACCATTGATCTTTTTACTTACCACCCCTCGGTTCGACAGGAATATCAGGCACAATTTACTCATATTTTATTGGACGAATTTCAAGATATTAATTCGATTCAATGAGAAGTAATTAAACTAATTTTGAGTGATAAGCAAAATGTCTTTCTAGTGGGCGACCCGAACCAGGCCATTTATGGCTTTCAAGGGGCCACCCCTGAATTAATTTCCTCTTTCACTAAAAATAAGGAATGAAAAACTATTTATCTTAGCACTAATTATCGTTCCACTAGCAACATACTCCATTTATCTAATTCTTTTATCAAAAAGAACAAGTCTATTTTAGTTAGTAATTTACTTAACACTTGTAACCCAGAAGGAGTGAAAGTAAATTTCTTGACCCGCCTTTCTGTCCGTTCTATTGTTCGTCATATTCGTTGGCTACTAATCCGAGAGAAATTGACATTTAGCGATATTGCTATCCTCTATCGCAATAATTATCTTTCTACTCGCTTGGAACAAGAATTAGTGGCTCAGCGGGTACCTTATGAAATATTAGGTTCTTTCAAATTTATTGAACGGGAGGAAATTAAGGATGTTTTGTCCTTTTTACGAACCATTATTTATCAGGATAATATTTCTTTGTTGAGGATATTAGGATTACAAGAAAAAATTGGGGCTCGCACCATTGAAAAAATCGAACAAAACAGCGAAAAAGAAAGAATAAGTATCTATGAATATCTGAATAATTTTGCTACTATCACCAATTTAAGTCAAGAAAAAATGATGACCGGACAAATAAAAAAAATTGGGGCTATTATTTTGAAAATTAACAAATGGCAAGAGAAATTGAAATTGGAACTTTCTCAGCAATTAGAGCAAAAATCCCCCCTCAGCACCTTTTTATTGGGAGTGCTTAACGATTTTGATTATTGAAAGCATTTGAAGACCCGCATTAATGCAACCGAACGAGAAAAAAATGTCCAACGATTTCTCAATATCGCTCAAAATTGAGAAAATAAACGTAAAAAAGAATATCCTAATCTAAATGAATTAATTAATGCTTTTTTACAATGAATCATTATTGCGTTTGAGGACAAAAAATTGATTAAAACCAGAAATAATTTAATACTTTCTTCGGTCCACCAGGCGAAAGGTTTAGAATTTGAAGTAGTTTTTTTTGCCTATTTGGACCAAGGAACCCTACCTTACAAAGAAACCCAAGACCTCACGGAGGAAAAAAGATTATTTTACGTGGGGATAACTCGGGCAAAAAAATTACTCTATTTAATTAGTAGTCAAGAATTATACTCCCCTTTTTTGGACGAGGTGGATAAGGAGTATTTGTTGAAGAATAGTAATTAGTTTTGTTATTTTCGAGGAGCGCGAGGAGGCCGACAACCACCATGACGCACAGGAGTTCGGTCGATTAAAGTTTCAACATTTAGGGATTTTTCTTCCAATATTCTTCTTATTACCGTATCGCGACCGGCTCCAATATTCTTAACTTGTAATTCAACATTGTGAATCCCAAATTCATTGGCTTTTCTAATTATTTCTTCCGCAACCTTTATGGCCATAAAAGGAGTGGCTTTTTTAGTGCCGGTAATCTTTTTATTATTGCCGAGGTCAACACTGCCTGCGCTAACCGTAGCCAAAATATCGCCGTTTTCTTTACTTAAATCGAGAATAGTATTGTTAAAACTAAATTTGCCATGGATAATTCCTCGCCCTTCAGGGATTTTTTTAATTTTCTTTTTGGGTTTAGCGACTTTACTTTGAATTTTAGAAGGTTTTTTTTCTACTACCATATATTAATAAATTGTATGTCGTTTATCTTTCAAAACTCTTAATACTGTTTTTTTTTTTTTTTCAATCACTAGCCAAGAGATAAGAGCCACAATGATTACTGCGACCACTCCCAGGCCAATTTTAAGCGAAAGGTTAGAATCATTATTTTTATCGGATTGATTTTGTTTTGGAGAATTATTTTTTCTTTTTAATTCCTCCAATTCCTCTTCCTTTTCTCTTAATTTGTCCTCTTTATCACGCAAAAGGTCAGAATTGGGAGAGTCAGTGGAATTTTTTAAGTTTTGGACTTCTTGCTTTAAACTGTTGATTTCCTGTTGTAATTGGGTGGTTTTTGCTGAATTATCATTTTGGTTTGGCCTAGGTTGATCCGGTTGGTTTGGATCTTGCGGATCCGGATTTCAATTAGGGTCAGGGTTAATTGCGATTTGCTTGTAAAATTCTTCTTCAACTTCCTCTTCTAACTTTTTTCATTCCTCTTCTTGCATGGATTTTTCAACTTTCTTCATAAACTCCTCAAATTTTTTTCTTTTCTCTTCTATTCCTTGCCCCGTTTTATTATTTTGGGGGTCTTTATCTATCAAATCGTCCATTTGGTGAACAATTTCGGGATTACAAACCGAGCAAAATAATAATCAATCAATATGGTCTTGTTTGCCACCTTTTTTCGCCAAAAAATCCGCAATTAATTTTTCCGCTTTCGCAATTAATTCTTGTTCGCTAGCACTTAATTTTAATTGGGGTAATAACTGGTTGAACTCAGTTTGAAATCGAGCCGGCAGTTTATTTCGCGTTATGATAACACCCCTGTATAAATATTTTTGCTTTATTAGCGAGGGATGAAATTCTAATTCATGTAGTGGCTTCGTTTGCCGACAAGCCGCACAAATACTTTGCTCTTTCCTATTAAGGTGACTTTGGCACGAGTTTTCCCCTTTTTCACTGGGATTATTGCAATCAAAAAAACCACATTTTCTTGTCATATATATAAATTTTAGAAAGGGCGGCGGTTGGGGTTTTTTTGGTCGGCTTTTTCCCTTTCCTCAACAATAGGAAATTCAAAATCATTTTCTGTTATTTTTCAGAAGTCAGCCTGGTTAATTGCTCCCGGATTGTTTTTAAACTTGTTTACTAGACAGCGAGTAAAAGCAATAGTAAAAACTCCGCAATCACTACCATTACGCTGTTGGGGACAGGGGGTGGGTTGGTTGATATCGACACTTCCGCTTATTCCTAGATACTGCAAAAAGTTTTCGGCCAATTTGGTGGCTACCGAAAGATTCATGCTCCCTGCGGAGTCATAATAATAAAATTTATTGCTTTCTCTATAAACGAGAAGCGACCAATGGCTGCCGGTTCCTCCCTGATATCCGCCCGTGCTGGAATTATTAACCGGCAAGAAAATTATTTCTTTGGTTTTATATCCATCAGCAGTTATTTTGTGCTCTTGCTTGCTAGTAGCATTCATTGTAGCAAAGTCATTTGCCGCGTTTTGAATAACCTGCGTGATAGCCGGAATAAGAAGTTCCACTTTGTTTACATTTTTTTCTATTTCCTCGTAAGCATTTTCTATGTCTTCAATGTGTAATCAGGGGTCAATGCTGCTTGGTGTTGGGCCAGAAGGACCTGGTGTTGGGCCAGAAGGACCTGGTGTTGGGCCAGAAGGACCTGGTGTTGGGCCAGAAGGACCTGGTGTTGGGCCAGAAGGACCTGGTGACTCTTTTAATTTGTCAATGGCTACTTTCACATTTCCCTCTCGTATTTGTAATTCCTCGGAAGTAGTGGCTTCACTAATATAATCCTTTCAATCGGTTTTGTCAGCCGTGAGATAATTGCTGTTTTTTAATTCAGTCAATAAATCCTCCTCTCTAATACTATCTGCACTCAATGCCAATTTAAAAAAATTAATCTTTTGGGCTTTGGTTTGGAGTAAATTGGAATTATCGGTGGGAGAATCATTTTTCTCCGGAATTCGCCCCGAGGAATTTTTTTGATTTTTATTTGCTAGCAAAACAGCGGATACTATTGCGGCAAGCACTAAAAAAAATGAGATGATGGAGGCTAGAAGTATTTTTTTTTGGTGACGGGTTAATTTCATGTTTTTGTAATTAATGTATATAATTATTTAAGTCGAAATTTAACCCAAGTTAGCAAGAAGTCCCCCATCCTCTTTTAGGTGGTGGGATGAATTGCTAAAATATAACATATACTTAAAAGTATAAACAAAGGATGAAATAACTCCATGAGATAAATGGAGATAAAGTTCTCACGAACACTTGCTAGTTGGCAAGAATGGCTCGGTTTGAGCCTTCGGGGAGACTAGGTGATAGCCTTGTCTAGGAACCGAGAAGCCCCCACTTCTATAAGTGGTGGGTAGTTCACAAAGTTCACGTTATTTATCACTACTACTTGACCCACTATTTTTACTAAATAATTCGTTATATTTACCTCTATCAAATAAAAGCATATATACTAGCCAAATTAAAGCAACCAATATACATATTTTTATCACAGTTTTGAAAATCTTAGACACAATGTAAGAAAGTAATCAAATAATAATGATAGCCAACAAAAAGGCCACCAAATGACTAGCCGTGATTTTGTTTGCGTCGTTAAGCAAAAAATTCAATCCCTCTTGCGTATACTTTATAAGCAATTGTAAATAATAACCAATACTTTCCATATAAAATAATAATATATTAAACAATTTTAGGATTTTGACCGAAAACAGTAATACTCAACAATTTATCAGACAGTTAGCCGAACGCGAAGGTGTATCGGAGGAAAAAATTAAGGAAATAGTCACGGATTCCTTTTGCAAATCATATTGCAAAGGAGAAAACATCGGAGCCGAATTACATTTTGAGTTTGACTCCAGATTATTAGTTTATCGCCGCTATAAAATAGTTTCTGATATTAGTGACCCAGAAAAAGAAATAATGGCAGATAATAAATTATTAAAAAGCGGACAAGTGAAGGATGGTTATTTTCTGCTCCCTTTGGATGTTAAAAATCTGTCTCTTTCTATTAACCAAGAAATTAAAGACCGCTTGCGAAAAGACGTTGGAGAAATCAATTGAGAAAGACAATTTAAATTATATAAATCTCAAGAGGGAAAAATAATTAAAGGTAGTATTAAAAGTCTCCAAACTACTAAGGAATTCCAAGGCAAGAAATATTATGCTGTTGACTTGGGAAGAGGCGTCGGTTATTGAGCCAAATCTGAATGAGTTATGCGAGAAGAACCAAGGTTAGGTCAACGTTTTTATCTCCTTATCAAAGAAGTGAAAGAAAATCTTGGAGAGGATACTCCACAAATCATTTTGACCCGAGCGGACGATTCATTTGTTCGCAGACTGCTCGAGCAAGAAATACCTCAGTTAAAAGAAGGATTAGTGGTTATTCATAGTATTTTACGTTTGCCGGGATTAATAAGTAAAGTAATAGTGGAAAAAGGTTCAGTGGCGAAAGAAAAAAACTTGTATATTGAGCCAGCCGGAACCTGTATCGGCGAAGGGGGCGAGAAGGCAAAATCGGTTTCTCGCTTGATTTATCCCGAACGTGTAGATTTTGCCGATTGAACTACTGATAAAAAAAAATTACTTTCTAAATTAATTTCTCCTGTGCGATTAGTTAAATTAAATATCGAAAAAGAAACCGAGTGAGAAATTGTGGTGCCAAAACAAAAAGCCTCGCTCCTTCTTCAACATGAAGGAAAAATGCTTCAAAAAATTAGTGAGTATTTGGGAATAAACGTTCATGTAAAGATGATGGAAGAAACGAATGAAAGAGAAAGATTAGGAAATAAAGGACAAATATCGCAACAAATCGGCAATTACAAAAATATTGATGTGCGAATAGTGGAAGAGATTGAATAATAGATATAGTGCTTGAATGGTATAAGACCTTTCTCCTTCAATTTCTAGATTTTCTTCTTTTTCTTTATTAGGTAGCAAATTAACAAGCCTAATGCCATTATCAAAACCATACTACTTAAAATGGTTAAAACTAGCCATAATGGAGATTGGTTTTTAGTGATTTCTTGCTTTTGGTTTAAAACCCTTTCTAACTCAGTCCATTGTTCGGGAGAAAAGTAATCTTTTCTATACATTTTTGGTCTTTTAATTATCAGAAACCCATTTCCGCTATATTCTATTGGGGATGATTTATGAATGAGTATTATTTGCTTACTCTCTCTCTCCATAGCCGTCATAGTAATACTTGCCGTCTTTATTTCAATTGACTTCTTTAAATTTCTCACTCGTTTTTGTAATGCTTAATGTTTTCTAAGAGAGCATTTTTGACTTCTGAATAGTCGCCATCAATTAAGTAATTCTGATAAGCATATTTAAGAAAAATTTGGCAGTCAATTGAATTTTCGGCCGTCAATTCTTTAATTATTTCCTCTTTTAACCAACGAGAACGAAATTTCTCTCATTTTTCTTTGCAGTTATCACAAAGTTCAAAATCGTTGCCACTGACTTCTTTTCCTGATTCTTGGAAAATGAAATTTTGAAGTAACTTTTTTTCTTGACTTTCCCCTATATTTCAATAAGAAAACGCTCTAGTCCTTGAGCCGCAAGCATCACAATTCATAAGCATAATATTATTATTTTAACCCACTACCACTTTCTGACAGATGCCAACCGGAACGTCACTGACTTCTCAGCCTGAAGACTCAATGGTAATCTTAACTTTTTGCTTTTTTTTGTCCAAATGGGTAATTCTTCCTTCCCGATTGCTAAAAGTTCCCTCAGTAATCTTAACCAAATCACCAATATTAAAATCAACTTTTTCGTAATTTTCAATTACTTTTTTTGCCTTTTCTTCTTTCATTTTGGCTAAGAAATTTTTAACCACTGTTTCAGAAACCGGATCCGGCAACTTATTTTCCTTTCATTGATGGTTCAAAAAACCGATCACTTCTGGTATTTGGCAAAGGTCGAAGATTAATTGAGGAGTCAAATTACAATAACTAAGAAGATAGCCCTTTAAAATATTTTTTTTATTATTATCGCTAACAAATTTTAACTCCCGAACGTTATCACTCCAACCTTTTTTTTCTAATTCTACTTTAATTTTGGCAATTAATTTCTCCTCCCGTCCTCCACGTACCGACAAGATATATCATTGATAATTCGTTTTTTTCATTGAATTAGGATATTGCTGCTTCTCCTGCTCCGACTGGGATTTCTAAAGAGGAAAAAACTCCTAAAATAGCGAAAGTATAGAGCAGAATAATGATCGTTATCAAGAGGCACGATAATAAGCCCTGATCGAAACTTAAAAATTTGAATAATTTGTTATACCGATTGATAGGACTGGAGCGAACTTTCTTTTTTGTGTTAACTTTCATAATATATTAATTTTAGTCTGCTTTAGCATTTCAAATAATTCTCTTTAACTCTTTTGCCAAAAAAAAGTAACTTTTCTAGTAGCAAAAATACTTCTTTATTTATTGTTATTTTTTTTTAGGTCCGCGGCAAAATATTAATGTCTATTTTTAGTCTTAAAAGAACAAAATATTCTTATTTATTTTTTCTATTTTTCTTTTTCCGGTTAATAAGTCAAGCGAATAATAATCCACCCGCTAAAATTGTTCCACCACCGATTAGTCAAGGAGTTAAGTTGATTGGCGATTTTTCAGCCGATTTTTCTTGATAGATTTGTCCTTGATTATCTTGTTCCAAACTTAATTCACTTTCGTTAATCTTTGTAGCATAAGTTAGATCGGCGTGCTTATTTCCTCCTTGGTTCGGTGAGAAGTAAATGGCAATTTTGGGTTTTTCTAAATTATGGCCGCATTCGTGTTCTTCGTGATAAGCCAAATCGGCCCGGGCTTGCTGCTTGGCTTCATCTCAATCCTTAATGCTTTTGTCTAATTCAATTTTGCCTCAACAATGTCGGCAAGCATAAAAGTAGCGTTTAGTAGATTTTTT